CAGCGACCAGAAGCTGTTGGGATTACAGGCACTCTGGATTCGAACCCGCCACCTTAGGTGTATGTGGCTGGCGCCTTAGCTGCTTGAGCCACAGGCGCTGAGCCTAAGTTATTTATCTTGATACTCCATTAAATATAGAGTTAGTCTTATGAAAGATAGAAGTTCACAAATACTCAATATATTTATGAGAACTGAAGCCTACCTGGTTTAATCTTCTGAGCTTTCACTGTGTTAGCTCTAGCAAAATGGCCATTACATAGCTTCTAAGAAGCCATTCAGTATTCATCAAGGGCACGAAAGAGACACCTGTGAAAAATGGGAATACTTACCGTACACAGTAGGACTGCATTTTCTGCTGGATTGTATGACATATTGAATACTGGAAACTTGGAACCACTAGAGATGTATATAGAAAAAGCAGAAAACAGGGAAGAGGCATAAGAATAGAAGGAAGAAAGAAATTACCCCCATACTTCTTACTTCTAATACTTACACAAATACTTAGAATAAAAATAAATAAATATTGCCTTTATTCTCTTCCTTCCCGAAGGCTTAGGAATGTACTTATCTCAGCTTTGAACAGTTTAAAAAAGTAAACACTAGCCAAATTATTCAACAGAAGATAGAGTTACTATAGTGAGTGAAACTGGTTCTGCTTGGATTCAAATTCCTACACATAACTGCAGTGGACACCACAGAGTCTATCCCTGGCTGGTTTCTCCCATCCTTTGGAATGTTCACATAAACCCATCCTTTTATTGCAGAGATGCTAGAGGGTGGTTATCAAACCCTCATGCCAAAGTTTGCCACCATTAATGTTTCAACATGCTCATGCAGCTGGCTTTCCAAAGGGACAGTTCCTTTTGCCAGGCTTCCCAGAGGTTATCATTTGGGGACATAAATTCTGGTTTAGAGCTGTGTACATTTTGCCATAATAATGCCAAATAAAAGCAAAAAGTCTTGTTACCCATTTGGGCTACTCTCTACCAAGAAACTTTCTCTGGTTTGCAAGAGACCCAGCAAACTGTGGTAGTAAGATTTCCTACATACAGGGTTCCTAGCATTCTCAAGAGGGGAACTCCCATTCTACTCATGGCCACTGCCTTCCCTACTACGCTCCAGGATTTAAACTGAGCAGGTTCATCTAATGGGTATCCTGCCTGTGACAAGAGATGAGAGCACATGCTGTTTAAAAGACTCCTGTTAATAGGTGTTATATTAGAGGGTTTAGAGCAGCAGTTCTCAACCTGTGGGTTGTGACCCCTTTGGGGGTCAAATAACCCTTTCACAGGGGTCGCCTAAACATATCCTGCATGTCAGATATTTACATTATGATTCATAACAGTAGCAAAATTACAGTTATGAAGTAGCAATGAAAATAATTTTATGGTTGGGGGGCACTACAACATGAGGAACTGTATTAAAGGGTCATGGCATTAGGAAGGTTGAGAACCATTGGTTTAGAGGGAAGAAACAAGGATGAGCTACCTCCGCAACTGCATCACAGCCACATCTTTGGAGCTGTTGAAATCCAGCTGACGTAGGAATCGGTCCTTGACGTAATGCAGCATGTTGCCGTGGACAGCATAGGCTGGCCGCTCTCGCTCCAGCTTAAACACAATCATGCCACCATCATGGCCTGGGGGACAGGGAGAAGAGAAGAATTATTTAACAGTTACAAGCAAGCAAGAAAGCTGGAAACAGGAGATACACAAGGATGAGGATTATATATGTATGCTTGTATCAAAAACAAGACACCTAAATCCATCTCTTATCTGCCTAAATTATCAATTGTTAGAATCTTTTTCAGACAAGAGTCTTGCACTGTCACCAGGGCTAGAGTGCCACATATTTAGACATCTCCTTCTCTGTGCTCCCCTAAAACTCTGCACAAACTTCTCTTATAGTACTTATCACCTTGGCTTGTGATCATTTATCACCCCATACCAAGGAAAGTGGAGTTCCCTGAAGACAGAAACTACAATAATTTTCATCCTCCCTCAGCCTTTAACATATAAAAACAGCACAGGCTGCATGTGGTAGCTCATACCTGCCATTCTAGCACTATGGGAGGCCTAAGAAGGAGGATCACTTGAGGCCAGGAGTACAAGACCAGCCTGGGCCACATAGTGAGATCCCATCTCTTAAAAAAAATTTTAATTTAAATTTATTTTATTTATAGATTGCACCTATAGGCCTCGCTACTCAGGAGATTGAAGTGGAAGGATCACTTGAGCCCAAGAGTTCAAGGTTACAGTGAGACATAATCACACCACTGCCATTTCAGCCTAAGTAACAGAAACCTT